GCGACCTCGGTGGTTGCAGAGGGATAAGGGATGTGAAGGAGAGTAAAGAGGGAAGAGATAATAGCTCAGGGAGGAGAGCTTAGGAAAGGGTTTGAGAGTCCAGAGAGATGGGGAGGAAGCCACGTGACAGGAGAAGAGTGGAGAGTTTAGTGTGGGTGAAGGCCCCACAGGCCATAAATATTATTAAAATATTAAAATATCCCCACAGAGAAATGTTAAAATAATAATATATTAATATAATAATTAAAAGATGTACATAAAATATAAAATATTAATTTTTACAAAAGTATCTTTCGGATTTGTAGTTTCGTAAAACCTCCATCGTAACTTTGATTTCGATTCTGCTTACGCTTACACGTTCGTACTGTCAAGTACTTCAAGAATACGATAAAATAATAGCTTGTACAGGTCATGAAATGATGGTCAACGAAAGTCAACAATCTCGCATCTAGGGCATTTTTGTCAATTAACACTTTTAAAATTAATAACATCGTAAAATTAGGGACGGATTGTTACAATTTTATAATGTTACTCTATTGGATAAGAGGATTTCAAACCGTTATTATTTATTTGTAAAAAATAAAATTTAATTTTAAGAAGATGTAAAATGAAATAAGAGTATGGCATTTGAACTTTGGCAAAATGTTTTTCCTAACTTTTAAACACTTTGGCGTCAACCTCCCACAAATTTCCAGGATGTCTTGATTCAATAAACTCACCAAATTATGTCTTAACTAAGGAAACATAAAAGGAAAAAAGAAGATTCAGAGTAGTAGAGGGTTTGGGACTTTGTGAAAGAAGAGAGGCGAGCCACAATAACCCTAGGTAATTTAGAATTATCAGATAGACGGACCATACGGTCCACTTTCAACAACATTGATACTGTCTCCAACTTGATAATTACCACCTGAACAATCCGTCAGGTGTGGGGTTTTATCACAAAAAGCCTCAGTATTAGTTGGAGTGAGGTTATGATATTTAAACTCTTATTTTCTCATTGATACAGTTGATGTGGGACATTTCAACATGCCCCCTCACGAGAGACCCAATTAGTTGGTCACACGTGAAAGATCCACACATCGATAACCATGTGGAGTCAAGGAGACTCACCTTACGTGCGAGGCTAAGGAACCCACCATCATTGGGCGGGGCCAAGGGGACCCACCCATCACATGACAATACAGTATAGGCCCGCTCCTTGTCTTTGATACCATGTAGAATTATCAGAGAGACGAGCCATACGGCTCACTTCCAACAACACCGATAATGTCCAAAACTTGGTAATTACCAACTACACAATCCGTCAGGTGTGGGGTTTTATCACAAAAAGTCTTGGTATTAGTTGGAGTAGGGTTAGGATATTTAAACTCTTATTTTCTCATTGATACAGTCGATGTGGGACATTTCAACAGGTAATACTTGGGGTAGGGATAATGGCTGAACGACGACAACAGGAAGGAGATTTGAGAACGATGTTCAAGCTAGATTCGCGAAAGAGGGACAAAGAGAGCGAGCGAGCGTGTTTTCTGTGAGCATGCTTCCTTTTTGATTAAATGTACCAACGTTTTGGAGAGGATAAGTAAGCAGGTGTGAGGTGTATTAAACTAGTGGGGTTAGATTATTTTATCAGGTAGTTATTTCACATATAAGCGCACCAAATAACCGAATTTGTATTATTATTACTATCAGTTTATTATACGAGCTACTAAACGAGGTCAAATGATATTAGAGAAAGGAAAATTGAAGATCTTGGATATCAGGTGTAAGGATGAATGTTACTTAAACTACAAATTTTGTGCGAAATGACCAAATTTAATACGACTCAAACTCAAAACACTACGAATTTGAATTGAACAAACGTGATCCACAACATGGGACATAAAGTGACGACTAGATAATAATTTAGGGTGTTGAAGATAAAGTATAAGAAATAGAGAACAAGAGACGTGAAGATAAAGTATAAGAAATAGAGAACAAGAGACGAGAGACATGAGTGAGAGATTGAGAGGAGAAAATCCAAGTGTACTTTTCTTTTCATTAGAGTGCCATTTATAGGATTAAGATTTACGTAGAAAATGTCCTGACTAATTACATATTACATACTGACCCAAAAGTAAACAACCACGTAATATATAATATTTACAATATTCTTACTTGAATGTTAACCAATCAAGGATTGTTGTTTCGATAAAATCTTGCTTGGGAAATCCAGTTGGAAAAAACCTAAGCGAATGAGAAATAATAGGGCACCACATTTGTGAAACATTGATACGGTGTTGGTGGTATATAATGTTGCCTCGCTAAAACCTTGCCACGAAAAATTAATGGTTTAGAAACTTGGTCGAAAGGAAAAAAAAAGAAGCATAGTGCACATTTGTCCATTAAAGTGTATTGTTGAAAACTCCCCATAATGAGTAACTCCACTTGATTAGTGACTCTCCCTGATGATAATAAGCATTGATTCAATTTGGTCATCATTGTCAAGTTTTGAAATAATGAAACTTTGGTTTTCAAGAAATTAAACTTGAGAAGAGCTTGATTTTGGGAAGTACAGAAGTTTATTGGGATCGACAATAGCCTTCTATTTTCCTGTAAATATGTTCAGCATAGGAAGGAGAAGATAAAACAGACGGACTAATTTGGAGCATAGTGCCCCAAAAATGGACGATCTAGAATCACAATGGTTTCTCAAACGGAAGAATAAGGAAAACTAATGAAATGGTTTGAAAACTTTAAGTTTTAACGAAAATGACAAAATAAATGGTAAAGTGAATAGTACTAGGATTGACTTTTTAGTGTAAAAATATGATTTTTCGTTAAAGTGAACAATACCAGAAATTTTTCATTAAAGTTTTCGGAAGAATATTGGAATAACATAAATTAAACAGGGATAAATTAAAACTACATTATATTTATGAACAGTAAGCCAGTTAATTTTCAGATTTAGTCTAGATTGAATTTAAATTACCTGTAGGGCGAAAAATAGGATGGCCAGGTGTATTTGCGAAAACAAATTTCATTTGTTTCCTTGTTTAAAAAGTCGGTATGAAACACTTTAGGTCTACAAACTTTGGTGTGCAGAACGGGTCCCACAAATTTTCTACACCCTAACTAGGAGAGGGCATAGTCCGATTCAGCTCTGATTCACTTTCAAACCAAAACCGGGATCGAAAAATATCAACGTACAGTTTCGCTCAAATTTATTATTGATCGTACGGTTCGGTTCATGACGGTTTTCATTTTGTTCATAACTCTTTACAATGATACATATATATATATACACACATATTTAGAATCTTCTACTTCCTCGATTTTTATGTCCACTTCTAGCTAGTTTTACTCCACCAATACCGAGAGAATGCCATACATACACAAATATGTGTCAACAAGAAGTATAAATTCAACTAATGAGTCCTAACAATTACTTCTTACAACACTCTTAAATAAAATAAATTCTAATAAACCATTATAAAACATCAAGCAGAGTTCATAAAAAAGAAAACTTATGTTTTGGTTAAAATAAGATGGAGGTTACGTGTTGGGATAATGGATGAGGAGAAGAACGGAAAAAAAGAATGAAGAAAAGAACTGAAGAAAATGAGAAAGTGGTAGGGATGGGCACGGTTCGGTTCAGCCTAGATTCACTCTTAAAATGAAATCGGAATCGGAAAATTTCAATGGTTCAGTTTGGTGCGGTTCTGCTTAAATTTGTTACTAAAACCGTACAGTTTGATTCATGACGGTTCTGGTTCGGTTCATGCCGGTTTACGGTTTTAACCAAAATTATATATATGTTTTTTTCTAATATTCTACTTCTAATACCAAACACATATTTCAACCACAAATTCAAGTAAATTTGAGTTTTCACTACTAGATCTACAAGATTTGTGATCGGAAGACAGAAAGTGTGCATATAAATATAAATCAAAAGATAGAAAGGCTTATATCAAGACCAAAGTGTAGATCTTAAACTAAAACTAAAATGTACATAGTGTATAATATACTAGAAAAGAATGGAGAAAAATAGTGTAGGGGAAAAAAGTGATAAAACAACAAAGGAAGGGGAGAGAAGTGAAGAAAATATTGGGCTTATGCACATGGTCTTCTTGGAAAAATGTCTTATTTATATAAAAATAATAATAAAACAATAATTTATATTAAAAGCGGTTCGGTCCGGTTCTTTCGGTTCTTAATATTTGCAAACCGGAACAGGAATCGTTTGAAACGGTTGGGTTCGGTTTTTGTTCCGGTTTTGACTTTTTTTGGTCAATGTGGTTTTTTACGGTTTTTTATTGTCATGGTTAGATTCGGTTTTCCGGTTTGACGGTTTTTATGCCCATCCATGGAAAGTGGTGTGGCGCAAAAGAAGAACAGAGTAAGAGATGAAAAAGAAACTATAATGCCAGCTTTAAACATTAGGGTTTAGTTATGGCTTTTAGGCTTGGACTTAATATTTGGGTCTATACAAAAAATGGGCTAAATGAATCAGATATTTAAAAAAAAAAATAAATAAACGATTTGGTTCGGTTTTGGTGGTTCTGGCAAGATGAAAACTGGAACCCGCATTGGTATGAACAATTCAGTCTAGTTCTTAAACCCAAGTTGAATTGTTTTTTTTTTTTTTTTTTAAATCAACATGTTTTTTTACAGTTTATTTTATCGAATTTGCAACCCTAACTAGTGGTGTAGTTAGGATTTTTAAGTAATGAGGTCATAATATCAATAAAAAAAAATTATTGGGCAATTTCGTCTAACACCTAGTAGGCACCTATTAATTCCTATCAACATATGCTGAAAGTTTATGCCAACATACGTCGACAACTACTATTATTTGTAAAACTTGTTGAGGATGAATGCATGATACTGTGGAGTAATGTTAAAGATTATCAAAGTTTTTTAACGAAAGTATTTCATGCTAGAAAAAAAAAAACAAAAATAATAGAAGAAAATAAAAGTAGAAGAGGGTGTAATTTAGTCTTGTTGTACTGCCGCTGCGACTGCCCTTACCCTAACAACCAACAACCAACTATTTTCACCCCTTTTGTTCTTTTTATCTTCAGTTGGAGATGAATGAACGCAAATGGAGATGTCACTGTAAAATTTAAAAAGAAGAAATTTAGATCCAAAACCCACGGAGGCCACAGCTTTCACCGAAACTTCTCAGTTTTTTTATGGCTGCTTTAATTTCATTGACCGGTGAGACTCAGTTCATTCACAGTGTGTGTGCAATTGTAGTAAAGGGTCAGTGGAGCAACCTCTTGAAACCCAACAATGATTCTCTTCTCAGCTCGGCAACCATTCACCAGGTACTACTGCAACTCTCATTCCATGGCTATGGCCTTTCTCCTTCCTGGGCTTTCTTCAAATGGGTCGAATCACTTCCCTCTTGCAAGCACTCCTTGCAATGTTCTTGGACTATGATTCACATCCTCACCAAGCACACGCACTTCAAACCTGCACACCAACTGCTTGAAAAAATTGCCCTTAAGGATTTCTTGTCCTCTCCGTCGGTTTTGAATGCTTTGGTTCGGACCAATGATGACCGTGATGTGAATTCACATGTTTTGAGCTGGCTTGTGATCTTTTATGCTAATTCTAAGATGACCCAAGATGCAATTCAGGTTTTGGAGCTCATGAGGATTCATGGGTTTAAGCCCCATTTGCATGCTTGTACTGCCTTATTGAGTTCTTTGGTTAAAGGTAGGATGACTAATATGGTATGGAAAGTTTACAAGAATATGATCAAGGCCGGGGTTGTGCCAAATGTTCATTTGTACAATGTGTTGATTCATGCTTGTTGCAAGTCTGGGGATGTAGAGAAGGCAGAGAGTTTGCTGAGTGAGATGGAATTCAAGTGTGTCTTTCCTGATCTTTTCACATATAATACGTTGATATCGCTGTATTCTAAAAGGGGTATGCACTACGAAGCTTTGTCTGTTCAGGATAGAATGGAAAGAGCAGGAGTTAGCCCTGACATGGTGACATACAATTCTCTTATGTATGCGTTTTGTAGAGAAGGTAGGATGAGGGAGGCTGTAAGACTTTTTCGTGAAATCAAAGGTGCTACTCCGAACCATATAAGTTACACCACATTAATTGATGGGTATTGTAGAGTGAATGACCTGGAAGAAGCTTTAAGGTTGTGCGAGGTAATGAAGGCCAAGGGACTGTATCCAGGAGTTGTTACTTATAATTCAATTCTTCGCAAGTTGTGTGAACAAGGCAGGATGAGGGATGCAAATAAACTTTTGAATGAGATGAGTGATAGGAACGTTGAACCTGACAATGTCACATGTAACACATTGATTAATGCTTATTGTAAGATAGGAGATATGAGGTCTGCTGTCAATGTGAAGGACAGGATGTTGGCAGCTGGACTGAAGCTGGATGAGTTTACATATAAAGCACTCATTCATGGATTTTGCCAGGTTCTGGAGATGGACAGTGCTAAGGATATTTTATTTAGCATGCTTGGTGCAGGAATTTCTCCTAGTTATTGCACCTATACATGGATTATAGATGGTTACTGTAACCAGGGGAATGAAGCAGCAGTTATAAGACTACCGGAGAAAGGTCTTTGTGCTGATGTCTCTATGTACAGGGCATTAATAAGAAGGTTATGTAAACGTGAAAGGGTTGATGAAGCGGAAAAGGTTTTCAATCTTATGCGAGAGAAAGGTATATCAGGAGACAGTGTAATATATACTAGTCTTACATATGCTTACCTGAAAGCAGGAAAGTCCTGTGTAGTTTCAGCGATGCTAGATGAAATGTACAAGAAGAGGTTGATGGTGACACGCAAGATCTATAGATCTTTTAGTGCTTCTTATGCCAGTGATAATGATATCATACGCCTGTTTTGGGATCATATGGTAAAGAGAGGCCTAATGTCAAAAAATGTTATTACCAAGGAAATGCAGCAAACATAAATGAACGATGCAATGTCACCGGGAGCCTGCTTATAGGTTCAATATTTCATGCTATAGCACAAACCTCTCTGCCTGTGAAGGGTGTTGGAGACTGGTATTGACCGGGGCACCCAAAGGTGTATGGGACTGCTGAAGAATCCAAGAGACTAGTAAGTGCTTGTTGAGTAATTTTGCTGGTCAAGTGAGGTTTTTTGGTCCCTCATGTTGTTGATGACCAAGTACGTTTATGATATATGATCAGTCTTTAGTGGGATTTGATCAGGAAACAAATCTCGTCATGCCACTTTTATCTATTGGAATTGCTCTCTACTACCATTTGGAGTAACTTAACAGATATACTGATTTTGCTGAGGCTTTCTGAGGCATCAACACAACTAACCAGGGTGTGCTGGTTAACTAAGGATGGGCGGTATAAATTACAGGAAACCAGCGGTTTTGGGCTGTGGTGAGATGGTTTGGTAATTGTATGAAGAGCTGCATTGTTGTCCGTGCGGTTGAACAATCCATCATGCTGCAGTTTTAAGGTGACAAGTTCATCTGCACTTCTGGTTTGGCATATGTGAAGCTCAAACAACGGAAGCTACATACGGCAGTCAGTGTTTATAGGTTGGTGATATTTGTATATATTTCATTTTCTTCTATTCATTAGGAATTTAGAAAGAAAACTTAGAATTGGAATCTGATGAACTGGTAAATGACTGAGCCATTGTTGAAATTGATTTGCCAAACAAATAAATGGAGAATCTTTCAAAAAAAAAAAAAAAAAAAAAAAAAAAAAAAAAAAAAAAAAACTGGTTAGGGTCATTGTTTTTTTTCCTTAGTTTGAGGTCTTAGTCATACCTGTTACTGATATGCTAAACAAAACTGTGCCAAGATGGAAGCTTTTTCAGAAAAAGAAAATTTCCTTAGAGAACACTCCATGGGAAAAGCTGTGTTTTGGCACAATGCTTTTGAAGGCACAAGTTCACAACCTAGGTTTGAGTCAATATTGTCCACAATTGCCTAGACTTCAGTAATATTTTGTAATTGATGGAACAATTTCGTTACATTATTTTGTCAAATGTCTTTTTGGATTTTTCCTTTCATGGTTTGATTCATATATACAATTACAAGATAAATTTTGACAATCATCAGTCCTACAAGAAAATGGGTGAGTACGATACTAGTAGGAAAACAAAATAAAAAAACAGCAAAGAATGTTTACACCAACTAAAATCCCTCTTTGTGCACACACGCCGATTTTATTGTGCCTAAAAAGCCTCTAGTGCAGCTGCTAGTGCAAAAATTTCATAATCTGGACAAGTGCAACCGTGACCATGACCGCTTTCACAACCACACTCATCCCATCTACTCAGCCTTCTGTTTTTCTGCCTCTTTTTCTCCATTTCCTCATTATCTGCTTGAACTCGAATCTTGATTCCTACTTGCAGTTGAGGCGATTTGATACCTTCAAGGCCATGCCTAGTTGTTGGAAGCACCGTGACCCACTGGTCTAACTCCATGTTTGGTGATTCAAGGATGTCCTTCCATGGAACCTGTGTCCTGCCCAAGAGTTGTGACCCTCCAATCCTTCCAAAAACCGGCACAGTGCTCCTCCAGCGGAGCTCGAAAACCACAGTTTCTTGCTGTAGGATGTTGTCCATGGAGCACATCTCGGTTCCAGAGCACTCCAAAGAGACGGACTCGTTCCAAACGAGGTTAGACTTGGCGGAGATTTCTCTGGTGTTGAGCATAATTCTTCTGTTGTTTCCTGCCGAAAGAGAGCATCGAACAAACAGGTTTCCGGTGGTCTTGAATTCAGTGTTTCTTGCTTGTATGATCCTCAGTTCACACCCAAGGGAAGAAAATTTTGAAGGAGTCATTGTGTGTGTTTGAGAGTTGTAGATAGAAAGAGAAAGTGCTGATGGATTCTTTGGTGAAGGGAAGGTGGTTTATATATGCTGTATGGGATATTGGAGGGAAGGTGGAATTGCTTTTTGAGGAAGCTGCTTTTGTGCATAAATTAATAGTAATAGCGTGCAAGATCAGAAGTGGAGTATTATAAATGATAATGCTTTAGGCTTCATATTGGGGAATCATGCGAGATTGAGTGGAAGATTTTGATGAGTTATTATAAGCCCTTTGAGATTCTTGAAGAGCTGGATTACATATAAACAACCCTTATTTGCTTGCTGCTTCTTGCTACTTGCTACTTGCAATCCCCAGGGTTGGCTTACATCGCTTTTGGACCTGCCACGTGTACATTGTACATGCAAGGATATAAATTATGGAATGTGCCTGTGCCTGTTCTATGTGTTTTGTTCTCCCACTGCTACTTCCATTTTGATTTCTTCATCAGACCGTGCAGCATTCTTGTGGGATTTGCTAATAAACTGATTATAAGTTACCTTTTTACATGGGAATACTTTGATGTACAACTTGTGTTTTGTTTTTGCAACCCTAGACTGAAAGATTTACAAAGGGACTGTTTGATAACCATTTCGTTTTCAGTTTTCTATTTTTGTTCACTGTTTTTTGAAAACGGAAAACATGCTTAGCAACTGTTTTTAGTTAAAAAAACTCTTAAAGCTAACAGCATGTTTGATAATCATTTGGTTTTAACTATTATTTTTTGTCTTTGAGATCATAGAAAAGTATATGGTGGAAATTAGAGATGAATAAGATGGAGGACTGATCGCCGGAGAGATATAAAAGAGATGTATAAGAGTATACAGAAAAAAGACGAAAAATCCAACATTAATTCAAGTTTGTTTTTACTTTTAAGATTTAGTTTTCCTCAATTTTTCTTTATTCTTTTCCTCCATCGTAATACCATTCTTCATTTCTTCTTTTTCATTTATACTTTCCACATATTTGAAGCACATAATGTATAAAAACTAGAAGGAGTTTCAAAACTTTAGTTCTTAAGTAAAATTAAAATTAATCATAATAATTTGCAGATATAATAAATTTGATTCTAGTCATTTGATTGTTGAATACAAGTCCCACATCGGGACATTAAGAAAATAAAGTACAATCCGTAAGTGTAGAGTTCTACTTCTAATACCGATAAGTCCTCTCGTATGAAAGTCCCACATTTACCGTTTTGTGCTGGTACACGTGTGGCTAACTATGTGGTGGTCTCACGTAAAGCAGATATTTTGTATAAAACCCCCACACCTACCGTTGCATACAAGTGGCATTGCAAGTTGAGGTAACTTTCTCCCCACCACAAAAATAGAAAATATATAAATAAGTGGGCTTAAAGTGTCACATATTTTCAATGTTTGATCCTAGATTCTTGCCATTGGTTATGGACAACTTGGAAGATCACCTTAGATTGCCCAAAAGATTAGAAACTTGTGGTGCTAAATAATTATCTATAAACAACCTAAAAGTAGACGATAAAGCACCATAACCTATATTCACAAACTTGAAGTGGGCAAATAAAAGCTTAACAAAATCTGGCATCCTAAAGTGCAAGAAGATTTAACTTTACAACGCACTAGGAATGGATAAAAAGAGAGTATTGTATCCTCGCGAATATACAGACCAGGATCCCCACTTTGCTTTTTTGTATAATTAATAGGTTTGACACAAAGCAGATTTAGTTGTTCATGCTTTGGATCTTAAAGTAATTGGGAAGTTGCCATGATAATTGGCCAAAGGGTTGAAGTTGAAGACAGGGAATGTGCTTCACAGAACAGAAAAGGGTAATATATGCATATATAGTAATTCTTCTTATAAGTATCCGATCCACCTTGGCATGAGATAAATTTGTTTTCAATAACCACTGGAATTTTCAATCGTTGGTGGAATTCCTTTTTGTTGAGAACCATGGGTACAAACTCCACTGTGTGAAAAAGATGCACAAGGTTCGGAGTTAACTGTACAAGGAAAAACCCTAATTACATGGAAATTATAACTCTATAGTAAATACAAAATCGTTGACTCACGCCAACAGATATTCTCAAGTTAGTGCGTAGATATCACTTAAGCCCAACTTGTCAAATGAGTCAATAAACACCCTTGTTGTCACATCATGGGTCAACATATCTGTTAATTGCTCTTTGAATCTCACAAATGGGATACCTACACATGTTTGGTAAGATCATATTGACAGGATTATTTGCTATTTCTCTAGCCGCCTATTTAGCACAATAAAATTTCATAGTACCTCGAGGCTTGAAACCAATTTTCGTCCCTTATATGCGAAGCCACAAAAGCTCATAGATGTCGTGAGCCAATCCTCTATGCCCAGCCTCTATCATAGACCGAGCAACAAAATTTTGTTTCTTGCTCCATCAAGTAACCAAGTTACCCACCACAAACATAAAGTACCTTGAAGTAGACCGCCTGTCTGTCACATTTTCACCCCAGCCTACATCAGTATACCCCTTAACCTTCAAATGTCCATATTTTCTAGAAATCAAATATTTACCAGGACCAGACTTCAAATAGTTCAAAATCCTCATTACAGCTGTCATATGTTCCTCATTAGGACAATGTATAAATTGACTATCAACACTAGCAACATGCACAATATCTGAACGTATAAGTGGTAAATAAATTAACATCCTAACTAACCTCTGATGTCTGCCCCTATTAATACGCACTTTATCCAGATAAATACTCAAATGATGATTATGAACAGTCGGTGTATCCGTCGGCTAGCAAGCTAGCATACTTGTCTCTACCAGCAAGTCAAGCACATAGTTCTGTTGAGACAAGTATATGCCACCATTAGACTGCACCAGGTCAATCCCAAGAAATACTTTAGTCCTCTAATGTCTTTCATCTGAAACTCCGAAACCAAGTATCCCTAGAATCTCTTGATTTCTTCTGTATCATCACTTGTAATAGCCATATTATCTACATATATAATTAGCAAGGTATGATCAGAGTTACCTTGATGATAGCCATACTTCTTCATGGCTTGAGAAAACCTCCTAAATCCATGCTCTTGGAGAGTCATTCAGATAATAAAGTTATTCACAAAATCGACACACCTTAATTTCCATGCAAAAAAGTATTTTCAGCATCAAACTGTTTCAACGACCAATCGAAATTAGCTTCCAAAGAAAACAAAACTCTGATAGTACTTATTTTTGTAACCAGTGCGAACATTTCCTACTAATCAACACCACATGTTTGTGTATACCCCTTAGCAACAAACCTCTCTTTGTATCAATCAATGGTCTTACCTGCGCTGTGTTTGATAGTACACAACCACTTGCATCCTATTGGCTCTTTTTTTTTTTTTTTTTTTTTTTTTTTTTCCGGTAGTGATGCAACGTTCCAAAGTCCCTTTTTTTTCTACAGTGCTTCCATCTCTATCTGTATAGCCTCTGTCCACTTCGGATCCTTTAAAGCTTCTTCAACTTTTGTCGGCATTTTTTATTCTTTCCATAGGTTGGTACTTTGGCGAAAGTCTATGGGTAGATACATTTTGAGCAATGGCATACCTTGTCTTTCCTTCTGAGGAGAATCTAACAGGAGGCTTCCCACAATTTTTTTCTTTGAGGGAGACGATAAAACTGTTCAACACCAACATGATTAGATAAAGTACTAGTTTCCGAATTACTTGCCTCAGGGATATATCCACAAGAGAGAGAGTGGTACTAGTGAATTGAGAGGGGAGGTTCATCTTGATCATGATCTTTGTTTACAACCGGAGTGGCAGCTTCAGGGAATTGTTCCTCCTCGGCGGCAGATGGCTCGGGAGTGGGTGACTCGATGGCAGGGAGATCACTGGCAGACTCCGTAGCACCAACTGTATTCAGAATTACACCAATTAAGACCATCATTACTACTCACCCCTGAGGGGCATAATTGGGTTTTTAGTAGAGAGAAAATTTTCGGACTCAGAGAAAGTGACATCCATAGTGCCATAAAGACGGTGAGTTAACAGAGGATTACATCAATATCCTTTCTGTTGGGGAGCAAAGCCCAGAAACACACATCTGACCGCACGGGGATCAGGCTTATTTTGTTGGTTCTTATGGAGATGCACACTGACTAACAAAAATATGCGGAGTAAGATTGAGTGAAGAAAGCAATGACACATGATTTGCTAATACCGCCAGAGGAGTACGGGAGTCGAGGACCCTTGTAGGCATTCGGTTGATCATATAAATGATATATGTGTCTGCATCAGCCCAATAGGTTTGAAGAGCTGATGCACAAATAAGAAAAGCTCGTGCAGCTTCTAAAATGTGTATATTTTTCTGCTCAACTACTACGTTCTGATGTAGGCTCTGAGGACAGGTAGTCCATGGTGAATGCCATTTTCTTGAAAAAATTGTGAAAGCTTTGAGTTCACATATACATCATCGTTATCTAATCGAAGAACCTTGATAGGATGAGAAAATTGAGTGCGGATAATATAACCGATCCAACATCACTTTTATTTTTTGTTGTGTACAACCAGGTCATCCTGGTACAATCATCCATAAAAGTAATAAACCACAGTATGCCATGTTGAGTAGAGACAGGGGAAGGATCCCATACATCTGGATGAACTAAATCAAATGAAATTGTTCTAATAAAACTCACAGGGTATGAGACACAACCATAGTTTTTTAATCTTTGCATTGCCACAACTGCGAACTCGATTCACTCAACCGGATGCTACGTCATCATTATAATATAACCGCCTTCTTTAAGTACTACGCCCATTTATTTCCCGAGTCTTGATACCTAAAGTAAACAAAAAATTGAAAACATTTGTACAATGCGGTCCAATAGTTCGGTAACTTGACCAACTATAAAAGATGGTTTGGTAATGCTGGAATAAGCAAGGTATTATGTGGGGATAAAGATGGGGCAATATTCAATTAGATTTGTGGTGGGACCCAATTATGTATCACATCAGCACACAACATAATTTTTGATAGATTTGTGATAGAATGACCACATTGATTTGTGACATCAATTTTCAGGGACTACATTGATCGATTTTCAATTTGAGGGACCATCTTGATGGAGTGGGTCTAGGGGTGAATTTTTTTTTGCGAAATTATTGTGCTAACCGAATTACCAACCGTACTGTACTGATTTTGTGTCAATCAGTATTGGCACGCTATTGTACCAAACTGAAATTTTTTTAGTAGAGTATTGGTATTCGATACTATTGCTACAATATTTCTGTACCACTCCAAGGCCATCTTCACAATCCCACATTTCTGATCATAGACTGGGAGAGCAGTACATGAACCCAAAAAAGTGAAAAAAAGAAGGGAACTTTCATGAAAATGGTTTGAGCTAAGTTTATTTCAACAAAAAATCATGCTATAACTTTATTTAATGAAAAAAAATTAAATTTTAATGAAAACCCCTTATATTTTAATAAAAAGGACAATTTTTTTTTTAATGAAAAGTCCTTATATTTTAATAAAAAGGAAAAAAAACTTAAATTTTAATGAAAAGGACACAATTAAAAAAAAAAAAAAAAACCCTAACGCGCAAGGTCATTACATTGTTTATGAAATTGAACATTATTTATGAAACTGAACACTATTTATGAAACTGAACGGTACTATACTATTTATTGGTTCAATTTCATAAATAGAGCCTTGTTTTTTGTCCACTTTCATAAATAGTCTCTAGTTCTTGGTCGTGTTTCATAAATAGTGCCTAGTTATTAGATTCAGTTTCATAAATAATGTATAGTATTTGATACAGTTT